TTCATCTTAAATTAACTAAAATAAAGTGTAAAAATAAAACACCTCTGTGTGTTGTTCATCTAAATCAGGATAATCCTACAAAGTTTTATCCATTTACTCTCAAAACGTTAATATAACCCTTTTTGGAGTTAAACAGGAACTTTGGTCCAGTGTTACTTAATTAACATTTCCAAAAATGTAAAATTAAGTCTAGAACAGATTGGATTCATATAAACCCTGAAAAAATGTTAAAATTGATTCTGTGAGAGTCTCCTTTTCATAGAGCTTCTTGTTTTTCCATCCAAAATTCAAGGACAATTTCCGCACAAAGAAGGCATTTTTCTGACAGTTTAAACCTTCATTTAACAAAATAAAAGTGTTGTTGTTTATTTTTATGAGTCTAATCATAACTCGTGTGCAATTTAGACAAACTTTGGCCCTTGTTAACCTCATGTAGTAAATTTATAACCTTAAATAACCAAAAGAAAAAAGAAAAGCAAGAAAAAACTAGACACAATTTTTGGTAATATCTTAAAGGTGCACTATGTTACTTTTTGGTTGGGGGCCCGTCGCCTGCTTGTTGCTATGGATATGTCACTGCTCTGTCTGGAATGTTCCACAGTATGACATTAAACCTTACATTTTTTCAATTAGAGTTGGTTTTATAGCTCAAAAAACCCCTTGAAAAACACACATTCTGACTGTGAGCGGGGTCGCCTCTCCACAAATCTGACTTGTAACATGGTCTGGTTTAGTCTCCATGGAGAAAAGAAAAGAATTTGACTGACCAGAAAAGTTACACAATGCAGCTTTAACTATAAAGACGTTAACAATGTTTTAGTGAAATAAATATAGTCTTCCATATTAACTATAAAGTCTGAATTTGCTTTATACAAACTTTGAGCGCGGCGTTTGCACTTTTGAGCTTTTGTTCGTGATTAAATTTGCAAAGACAGAAGTTTTTCGGCGTGTTTCTCAAAGCTGATTTGGTCGGAGCGGTGGAAGACGGCGGGCGGCAGCAGGGATCATGGGACTGCTCCTGGATTAGAGAGTCATGGGACCAACAAAGAGGCCTGAGCTCACATGCTCATCATATGAACGCACAGAACGCATAAAGGCTACCCCGAAGCTCCGAGGACCAGCACACAGACTGGAGCAGGACCGGAGACCAGACCAGAGACCAGACCAGAGACCAGAGACCAGAGATCAGAGACCAGGGACCAGGGAGCAGGAACTAGACTAGGGACCAGATCAAAAAGGAGCAGAAGAAGGAGAAGAAGACAGGAGCAGAGAAAAGGAGCAGGAGGAGGACCAGACCAGAGACCAGACCAGGGACCAGACCAGGGACCAGACCAGAGACCAGACCAGAGACCAGACCAGAGACCAGACCAGGGACCAAAGACCAGAGACAAGATCAGGAACCAGACCAGAGACCAGACCAAAGATGAGACCAGAGACCAGACCAGGACCAGACCAGAAACCAGACCAGAGACCAGACCAGACTCCAGAACAGGGACCAAAGACTAGAGACAAGACCAGGAACCAGACCAGACACCAGACGAGGCACCAGATCAGACCAGGCTAGGACCCAAGCCAGAGACCTGACCAGTTACCAGACCAGGGGCCATAGACCAGGTCCAGAGACCAGAGCAGAGACCAGGGAAGCAAGGACAAGACGAGGATCAAAGACCAGAAGATCAGACAGGAGCAGCTGACAATAACAGGTCCAGACCAGGACCAGACACCACTGACAGGTCCAAGATTAAACTAAAACCAGGCTCGAGACCAAACCAGAGACCAGGGAGCAGGGACTAGACCAGAGAAAAGCAGAGGACAAGAACAACGAACAGTAGCAAGGACCAGACCAGGACCAGAGAGTAAGGAACAGAAACTAGACCAGGACCAGACCAGGGCCAGATCAGGGACCATACAGGAGAAGGAGACAGGAGCAGAAGTCAGCAGCAGAAGATGGGACCAGAGACCAGGGACCCGACCAGGATCAAGAAAAGACGCAAGACCAAAGACCAGGAGCCAAGACCAAGGAGTGGAGTGAACCAGTCAAGAATGAAGACACAAAATCTGAAGATATGGCTTTGTAAAGGTTTGTTTAATGGAAAAGATTTACAATATCAACATCCACTTGTCCGTTTTGTTTACCTTAAATAACTAAAAACTCATTTCAAAATATACTTATTATCCTTTGGGCTTGTAAAAACGTTTGCTTTGATATAATTTCAAAATTCACCATGACATTTAGGAGTGAAATATTGTCAAGAATTTCACTGTTTTACACGGAAACAAAGACTTCATTGAGGTTAATTGAAATCAAATGGTATTCACAGGGTCATGGGAGCAGGTCACATGGCGACACAGTGGAAAAAAGCATATTTTAAAACTCTGAAAAGTGAAAATGGAGAAAAGTTTGCGCACAAATTGGTAATTTTTAAAATAAATTGCACAAAAATCAGTTTGAATTTGCGTAAACAGACACAAACTTCAACTTGTTTGGGTTTAAAAACGGACTAAATTTGATTTATATACAGAGACAAATCAGTTTCAATTTATTATGTGAAGCAGCAAAAAGAAAACAGGACAAATATGTTACTAAAAATGTGGAATGTAGTAGTTTTGTGACCATATTTTCACTGATATCATCTTAAATGCGTTATAATTTACATTTTTGAGACCCATATTTCAAACTAAAGTCTCATTCTAAGATAATTTTAAACGCATTTCCTTGTAAGTCTTGGTGCAAACTTGTTTACAATGTCCGCTTTGTTGTTTTAATACAGTATTTTCATTCTAATAGCATCTGAATGTGCAGCTTGTTTCATTTCACATGACCGGCGCAAATGCATGTCATGTGAGGAGTTTAATCTGCCATTACAGAGAGCGGGAATCTAACCCACACGCTCCGACTTAAGCCAGCACAATGGAGCCGGTCATTAGTGGAGTAATGGCTTAAAGGCACAAAGTCCGGCGTTTAGACCGGATTAAGCCACGCAGAGAGAAAGAGGATTTAAAACAGAAAAGAATGGGCTCCCGAAATTAGCCAGATCCTTCGATGCATTAGAGCCGCGGACATGGAGAGAATGTAGGAAATGGTCAGTGTGGGACAAAGAGCTCAACACTGACAGAAAAAGACTGGTAATGAATGATAGGAAGTCAAAGAAATACAAATTATTCTTTTAAATTTCAGAAAAAAAAGATTATAAGAATAGAAAATTTCAAACTAATCACCCAGATACGACGGAAAGGTTTTAATTAACTTTCCAACTTGCGTAATTCGTGCATGTTTGAGTAATGTTTATTCACCGATACACGCCCACTGCTCTGTACTTCCTTCCTTCTCCAATTTATTTTTATTTTAATTTGTGATACGCATAAGGTTCTGAGTAATTTTTTCACAAAAAAGAAAAAAAAAAAATGCTACTCACTACTGGGGTCATGCAAAAATAACAAAATATCAAAATATCATATCGTTTAATGTGATGATACAGTATCGATATATCGCCAGGAGTATTTTTTGGTGTGTTTTACTAAATTATTTTGTTACAGCGCTGCAGTTTTTTTGCTTGTTTAGATGAAGGAAACTTGTTTATGTGACACATTTGACATTTTAACAGTTTTGATGAGTAAATTTGTTTTGTTTTTTTTCATATTAACTTAAGTGGTTTAACAAAGACTTTTAGTATCACAGACATGATTTAGCCTTTATTTTTTATTGGACTGAATCGAATTGTTTTGAAATATATTGAAACGAAACCTCACTGTATCGAGGTATGTATCGTATCGGCAACTTCTTAATGATACCCAGTCGCTACCCATTGGAGGTGCTGACAGCTACACGGCTCTTTGTTGTGATGACATTTACGGTGACGCCTGTAGTTTTCTAACGTGGAAGTCAATGCACATTTTTATTTTATTAAGGCGTTTTATATGAATGTTGTGATTTAAAATGTCCGAATAATAACATGATGATCCACAGGTGTCATATTTGCACAACAGGTCTTCTCTAGGAGCTCACTCATAGAACTTGGGTTATATCTAGTAACCTTTTCTTGTCTTTTAATGTGATTCCGGGAACAGCAAGTACATTTTACACACACACATAGAAATTGCTAGAGCTGGGAGGTGATTTGTTCGGTGCAGTTGAGGTGAAATCAAACAGACACATTGTTGACTGAGAGAGAATAACCATAATTGTGTTTCTTTCACAGGTTCACCGAGCGTGGATCGAGAAAACGTTCCAAAAACGAGAATGTGCCCGGATCATCCCCAGCAAAGACCCTCTGAGGTACTGGCCGATACACAGACGAGGAACATGTTTTTATATTTGTAACACTTAAAGGTGCAAAGTGTAACTGTGTTCTGTTGGACAGTCCACTCCATGGAGATGTTATTGCTTTTTCTGGAATGTTCCAGCATTAAACTTACATGTATCTTGCATATATTTTCATCATTGAAAAACGTAAGGTCTACAAAGTCGCCTTTTCATTTTGTCTGCCTAAACATTTCCGTGGAAGGATACTAGTTAAGCGGCATACTTTAGAACATTTCCGATAATGCAACAACATCTCCATGGCACAAAGCACATTTTAATATCCTCCTCACCTCCCCCCAGAAATGCTACACAGTAACAAAATGTAATGTCTAACTAACTTTTATATATACAGTAAGTCGTAAGTGAAATTGTAAATGCAAACTTGATGTTCATACACTACTTTTCTTTCTTGGAATTATGTCATTGTTTAACAGGATTTGACATTACAAATACTTTTTACTTCAGCCTAAACCCTTTCGGTCATGATCCATGGGGTTGTAGTCTATCTTTTGTTTTATTTTGTTTTGTAGTGCTACAAAATGACCGAATAAAACTACTCCTACTAAACTCTATTGTTTTATCGTTTATTGTTGCCCGATCCAGGTGCAGTTGTGGTCAGTTGGTGGGCCAGCACAAAGCCCTGTCTGTGGACCCGAAGCAGAACAGCGCCGCCCTAGAGGTGCAGCCCGGAGAGAGATGGAGCGCGCTCAAACACACCCAGGCCACGCCCACAGACGCCTACGGAGTGGTGGAGTTTCAGGGCGGAGGACACGTCAACAAAGCAATGGTACGTAAAAACATAATGACCATAGGATGAGCAGTGTTTAATTCATAGGTTTTGGCTTCCTTTCTCCATTTTGAGGACCTTTTCTCTCTCAAAAGCCATACAATTTTCTTTCAACTTGTCAATTAGTATGACGACGGTCTTAATTTTTCATGCTTCTGAAATCCAAGGATAGTGTGAACTTAGAAATATTAAAAAATATTGAAAAAAGTCCAAGCAAATTTATCACAGGCTCCTGGAAATTTTGTATATGTATCTTAAAACTCTTTTGGCTGCGTTCCTCTAATGTTTGCATTGTGTTATCACGGTAAATGCTGAACATTCCACCATAGAGATACATTTATAACACCCCCAGCATGATATCACTGCAAATTTTCAAAAGGAAAAACAGGCTCTTGCCCCCCATCTGAGAGAATGACAACATCACACATCTGGAGTCTTAAAACCACCAACAGATCCTCACATGTCTCTCTGCCTCCCACAGTACATCCGTGTGGCGTACGACTCGAAGCCCGACTCCCTGCTGCAGATGATGGTGAAGGAGTGGCAGCTGGAGCTCCCCACTCTCCTGGTGTCTGTCCACGGGGGGCTGCAGAACTTTGAGCTGCCCCCAAAACTCAAGCAGGTCTTTGGGAAGGGCCTGATCAAAGCCAGCGTCACCACCGGAGCCTGGATCTTCACCGGGGGAGTCAGTACAGGTGTGGTTCAATATATGAGACAATATACAAGAGTTTCTAGTGAGTTTCTAGTTTTAACATTTAAACATTTAAACAAAAAACTAATGAAAAAACCCTTATTAGACCCACTTTGTGCAAGTAGCTACCAGTCAGATCTTGTCCAAACCAGTTCAACCAAATCATACCTATCTGGTTCCACCATCATTTAAACTCTGTGGTTCCTGCTGCAGATAGAATCTTTCAGTGTGGGTTTGGTCATCAGATCTTTGCTCAGCTGAGTCTGGTGACACATGTTGAAGCAGGTTTGTCTCTTTTTTGTCATAACAGGAGTGATCCGCCATGTTGGAGACGCTCTGAAGGAGCACTCCTCCAAGTCCAGAGGAAAAGTCTGTGCCATCGGCATCGCTCCCTGGGGAATCATCGAGAACAAGGAGGACCTTATCGGCAAAGATGTGAGTCTTGCACAAATGGAAGTCTTTGGTGTTTTGACAGAGTAATGCCATGATAACAGTAGGTGAATATACTGCCTCCTGACATACAGTCCTCCCTGTACTGACCTGAAGTCTTTTTCAGGTGACTCGTCCGTACCAGACCATGTCCAACCCTCTGAGTAAACTGTCCGTCCTGAACAGCTCTCACTCTCACTTCATCCTCGCTGATAACGGGACCACAGGGAAGTACGGAGCAGAGGTGCGACTGCGCAGACAGCTGGAGAAGCACATCTCCCTGCAGAAGATCAACACGCGTGAGTTTAACTGTGAACGCTGAATGTTCAGATGCCCTCCCTGTGCTATGATCCTGAGATCTGTGCTGTGGTCATGTGACCATGTGATCCCTGCGCCTGTGTCATGTGACCTGTGGGTTTCCCTTTGTCATCCTATGCCTGGGGCTGTTTGAGAGGCAGGGACCGCAAAGGGAGGCTCAGCCGTCACCACTCACTGCAACTGAAACGGAGACGACCAGAGACGACCAGAGACGACCAGAGACGACCAGAGAGACCAGAGAGAGAGAGCTGTTGTTGATGTTTGGATATTAGAGTATTTGTCATAACTGTAATGTTTTCTAGGACAGTTGGCAAAGCAGCCCTCACATATGTGGATATATTCACCAATACCAAAAGCTACTCTAATGCATAAAGGCACTGATCATTGTCATATTGAATAATCTATAAACTTGTGTTCTACAAAGTTTGGATTTGTATCGTTTTTTAAAGTAATATTTGTGCTGACGTTCTTAAAAGGTGCACTGTGTAACTTTTCTGGTGGATTGTTTGCCACCTGTTTGCATGGCGGTTCAAGGAGAGGGGCCACAGGAGTCCCTGGCCCCACCTCTAATCTGACTGACCCCTGAAGTGCCCCTGTTCTGTCAATCAACTGACGAGAAGAACAATTTTTGCAATTCCACTCCTAAACTCTTGGCAGCAGTAGACCTATTGCGTCACATCAGCTTAATGGGAGAAAAAACAGATCTGTGGAGGGCTTTTTTCTTCTTTTTTTACTGTCTACACTTGTATTTGCACTGTACTGAATTAATCATTTGTGTACTTGATTGCAGAGTGTACTTGGCCCCTGAATGTAACATGTCTCCCCTTAATGGTCCCTGTTTCAGAAAAATCCTAGAACCGCCACTGCCTGTTTTATCTCTAATTAAAGGTGTTTTTTATGACTAAATCAGCTTGTCTAGATGGAGATATTTTTGTTTAAGGTCATACTATGAAACAAAGAGACATACAAGTGGTAGAACTTCCACCAGAAAAGTTACATAGTCCCTCTTTAGTGTCTCTTATCCTTATTTTAACATAAAAACAAAAAATTATAGACTTTTCTCATTAACACATACATTTGTGTTGACAGGTCTGGGTCATGGCGTGCCCGTGGTCTGTCTGATTTTGGAGGGTGGGCCTAATGTGATCTCTATCGTCCTGGAGAGTCTGAAGGAGGAGCCCCCTGTGCCTGTGGTGGTGTGTGACGGCAGCGGGAGGGCATCTGACATACTCTCCTTTGCGCACAAGTACTGCGAGGAAGATGGGTACGATTTTTAGATGACAAAAAATATTCTTACAAGTGACCCACATAGATAAACAAATTAAAAATACTCTTAAAACTGTGATTACATTTAATTGTCATTTAATTTAACTTTTACTTACTCTGGACAAACCCATGATTATCACAATGCTTTGTCAAGACACCATTTCCTCTGAATAAAATCCCAGATAATGTCGAACCTTTCACCCCACATCCATTATAATTTATGCACAAAAGGTTAAAAGCATTTCTGACGTGGAATATTCTGATTCAGGAGATAAACAGAAACGTTACAATGGTTTTAAATACAACATCAGGAAGGTCAGACCAGCTCCGAGGGTCACACTGGCTCCAACCATGAAGCCATCTGTTCATATGATGTTTTAAATTTGTATTAATATCACATGTAAAGCAAAATCAAGTTACCTTATCAAATACATAGTACCATCCTTGTGAAAATGAAAATAGAATAGGTTAACTAATTTCAGAGACTTGATCTGGATTTTACTCTATTGCCTAGTTTCTTGTTTGTATGAACTTTATTTCTAGAGGAATTTCTTCTAATTATTCTAACTAATTATTCACTATGAACACATTAATTTGCAGCTTTGTGGACTAAAACTGTCTAAAAAAAAAAAATCTGATAGGAGCTCAAACTGCAAATCAGATGCAGACAATCCAAGCTGTGCAAAAGCTTAAGAATTTTTTTTACACAATAATAAAGTTATAACACATAAAATGCCAATACTGACCCTTTATGTTTTTATATTTTGTGTTTCCCAGGACGGTCAGTGAAGGCGTCAAAGATCAACTGTTGGTCACGATTCAGAAAACCTTTAACTACAGCCGCAGTCAGGCTCAGCAGATCTTCCTCATGGTGACCGAATGCATGAAGAAAAAGTCTCTGGTAGGTTTCAGAGGAGGAGACTAATCATCCTCAGGACTTAAAGGCGCTCTACCTGATTTTTACTGTCTTAAAAACATGATAAACAATTCATTTTAAATGGTTTGCAGTGGTCCAAATGCATTCAGAGTATCCTAATTATTCACCACAATGAGTTTATAAGAGCTTTCAGAGTTTTAACGGTAGAGATGACAACAAGTAGCATGCAAACACACACTAACTGATTGTCTGATAATAAAATACTGCCTAATTACATGCACGCAGCACACAGTGAACTTATTTTGACCTCAAGAGCTGCTTATACAATATATCTGTACTTGGGCAAGACACATTTTGCTCAAATGTACTGGGTAAAAATCAGGTACAGGCCGTTTAAGTCAGTTTATATATGTAGTTGTTTGTCTATTTTTGCCATTTTTTTATCATCTTACATTTTCATTCAATAAATATAAATACCATTGAGTTCGTTGTCATTTGTGTGTCATTCATTTGTTCATATAAGTTGATCACCATGAACCATAATACTGATAAGCCTTATAATGTAGGTTTTAAATATTTTATAGAGACTCAACTCAACAATACATATTTTATTTGAGGTGACTGTGGTGTAGTGCTTAAGTATTCATCTAGGAACTACACGATCACTAGTTCAAATCTCACATAAACACATATTATGAGCTTGTTTGCAGTCATTACTAAAGGAATTAGACTTTATTTTATCATCTGTGGTGTTCATGTAATAATCATACCATCAAATATATTCACCATAATCAATAAGAGGATATTAAATAATAAATGTTATTATATTTTTTTAATCTTTGAAAGGAGCAGGGTTTATAAGATTTATCTTCTTCCCGTTCCTTTTGTTCATGCTGCAAAGACAAGGCAAATAATGGCTGGAATATGTATTTATGTTAATTGTCAGATTTGTTGTTGTTGTTCTCTTTAAGTTGATGCCAACAAAATAATACCATGAGCAATAAATAAATAAATAATTTTGAGAACGCACAAGTCTGAGAAAAAACACAGACCCTTGACTTACACTAAGAGCGTCATTTAGGGCATCATGTAACTGTACACTAAATAAATTACACGGAATTCGAGGTGGAAATACCGCAGGTCTCAGGACTGACCCCTGGGGAACCCCCAAAAGTCAAGGCCATTAGGTCAGAGACAAAGTACTCGCTGTCGGGCTCTCACGCTGCTTTCATGAGCGTGTCAAAAGTTCACATGCGACATTTCTTCATCATCTGATCTGTGTACGATCATGTGCTTTTGGTCGAATACCGAGAAACACACTGTAAATATTTGTCATTCGCAATTTTGAGCAGAAACTATTTTAGAAGTTGTTGACAGCATTCTCCCAATTTAAGGTTCACTTCATTAAAAAAAAAACTCAACCTGCCTCATGTGTTTCTCGTGTCCAAATTCCCAATAGTCTGGTTAGGTCCATTAGGTCATATTGTTTTGATAACTTTGGGATTTTTATCAGACCTTTTATTGTGAGACTTTGACATCGACTGGACTCGACTGCCCTCTGCTGCTTTTCTCAGAAGTGTCACCTGATTTTGCTCTGACGTGTCTAGTGAGATGATTGAAACAGATTTTGGGTCTGTCTTCTTACATGACTGACTGTTCATTCATAACATTCATTTCAAATCCAGTTTATGAGACAGTTAAAAGGCACAAAAACATAATTCATTTTGGCATAACAACCATCATAGTCTACTTACCGCGACCATACAAGTGCAACTGGCTATGAGGACGTACGTTTCTCGTTTGTTGATAACAACCCAAGCCTCAAACATCGCGGTCTTGTGTCTTTACCTTTGACTAGGAAGGACTTTGGATGTTAACACACAAAACTCTGAATCGATGTCATGGTATTTCTCGCCCTGTACATGACCACAGACAAACGTATTCGTAGGCATGCAGTGACTCGTAGGCTCGTAATTTCTCTGGGGTGTACACGCTCGGTTTCTCTATTAAATACGTATATATCTCTGGCAATCTGACCACGTCTTAACATCATCCACCCACTCACTGATCGCACAAGGATCTGGCCGCCTGACACCATTTGTCTAAGTCAGCTTGTTGAGGTAATCCTTTCGCGTAGCTTGACATGCTGCTGAGTTCCGCCATATTTCTGTTGCCAAAATGTGCACGCAACCGCACCTACGTCATCACTGTTTACAACACTAAAATGATGTATAAGAATCTCAAAATTATGTGCAACTTCCACTCAGAAAGTCAGACATTTGAGCTGAACAACACAAGGAAGGAGCATTAGTGTCCCAGTGCTGTGACGCAGTCTAATCAATAGGCAAAAAATGTAAATATTGACTTCAAAAATTCTCCTTTGTCCAGACTGTATACTAGTTAGGTGATGTATTTGGTCTCGGTCTCGTCCAGCTTTAGTTCTAGCCTCAGTTTTGTCATCTGTTCGAGTGTGATCACAGCCAATAACTGAAGTATTGTGTGCAAATTTGAGTTTCAGAACAAAATGTCCTAAATGTGTTGTTTGTTCAGATCACAGTGTTTCGAATGGGCTCTGAGGGACAGCAGGATATCGAGATGTCCATCCTCACCGCTCTGCTCAAAGGTGAGAAAAGAAAAGAAAGTGTAGAATCTGAAAACCACCAATAAGACGAAGAGTTTATTTACAAAAATCACTGTTTTTGTACTATTTTTTAATGCTTGAGAGCTTTAAGCCATGTTATAAAACCTGGACGTTCTGTTTTGTGTCATTCGCACATGTTTGAGTAATCCTGCATTATTAGTCTGTTCCACCTTGTGATGTCATGAAGTAGGAGTTTTCAAGTTAACAGCTACAATATCTTTTACCTTTAGTGATTGCACTGGCTTCCTGTGCCTCAGAGAATAGACTTTAAAGCAGCTCTGCTTTTGTACAAGTCTCTCCATGGCCGAGCACCAAAGTCCATCTGTGACATGTTAGTGTCATATGAACCATCTCACACTCTGAGGACCTCAGGGACCGGCCTCCTGCTGGTGCCTAGAGTCAGGACTAAACAAGGGGAGTCAGAGTTTCAGGTTCATGCAGCTAAAACCTGGAACAGTCTGAACATGTGAGACAGACTCTTCTGTGACGCTGTTTAAATCCAGACTCAAAACATTTCTGTTTAACTGTGCAAATAACTGAAAGGTTTTCATTCCGCACTCTTCTCTCCAATTTATCTCTCTTTTTTAATCTTAATCTTCATGATTATTTATGTTTTGATTTGTTTTTATTATGATTTTAATGTATTTCTTATTCTGTAAAGCACTTTGAATTACTTTGTGTACGAATTGTGCTGTACAAATAAACTTGCCTTGCCTTGCCTAGTTCAGGAGAAATCAGGCTGATATTATCGAAATTATTCCAGTGAAGGTACATGGAGTTTGAGAACACACTAGAGCTCATCTTGTGTTACTGCATGACATCACAAGGTGGAACAGAGTGTTTTCAGTTTAAGACTACGTTTATATGATGACGGCCTGAACAGAAGACGCAGGTGTCGTGTATTCACCTTTTATTCCGCTTTTAGGACGAGTGTTTTCTGGAGGAAATCTGCGTGCATACGGTGACGCAAAAGTGTGTGGAATTCGATTGGGTTTGCATGCCAGGCGACTCGGTGATGATGCGAGGTGGTGATGGATGTGACATAAACGCGTAACGCGACCTGAGCAGATCTGACCAGATTTCTTCGTCTAGGGCAGTGGAGACGGAAACGCTACAGCAGAGCGTGTTCAACTTTTCCACTCTGGAGGGCGGTTTCAGATTTTTGCATTTCTAAGCACCCAAAACGCTCTCACCATCTAAACAAAAAAGAGGCACTTACGATAAAATATTTGGTCGTTTTTACCCACAAACTTTCTCGTATAAAGAGGCTCTGAGAGAAGAACTCAGCCTAAATCTGCAGGGTTTGTTTGTTTAAATGTGTGAATGAAACAAAACACAAGTCCAGGTCTGTTTTTAATGAAGTTTGATTAAAAAGAGATTGAACAATATTTTCATTGTTGTTCATGTTTTTCTCAAATAACTGTTTACATGTAATTTATTCTGAATCGTTTCTAAATTCATATTCGTTCCAGGGACAAACGCTTGTGCCACAGATCAGCTGAGTCTGGCTCTGGCCTGGAACAGAGTCGACATCGCACGCAACCAGATCTTTGTCTACGGACTCCACTGGCCGGTCAGCCCCAAACGCCCTGATAATTCTCCTTAAAACACAAAATAACACCAATATCTGAATTACATTTAAAATAGCACTGTGTAATTTCTGTTGGCGGCTCCATCACCTGTTTGTCTGCTCAAAAATGTTATTGTTTTGACTGAGATGCTCCACAGTATGGCATTAAAGTTATCTATCTATGACTCCACCAGGCCAAGTTACAGCTCAGAAGATATAGCTCCACCCACTGTCGGCATTCAAGTTGATTTTGTTTTTTATTTATTTATTCACTTAAAGCAATAAAACATCTGTAATAGAACAAATGCTATAAATTTGTTTAATGCCATACTGTGGAACATCCCAGACTAAGCAATAATGACTCAGTGGAGATCAGGAGGTAGCAAACCCCAGCCGAAAAGTTACCTAGTGATCTTGTTTATGTTCCTGAAATCCACATGTATTTGTTTTTAATGAGAAAACATAAAATTGTAAGTTGTAATTAATCAATAAAAAACAATTAACACAAAAAAGAAGTACATTTTTATATTTCTCAGCCCAAACTAAACCTCTGTGACTCGTGTGTGTTGCAGCCGGTGATTGGAATGGCGAGTGACCGTCCCAAAAGCCCTGGAGCTGCTCAGCGCGTGGTGACTGTGGCCGGGAAGTGGAAAGCCAAAGGGAAGAAAAACAAAGCCAAAGAAAAACCTGAACCCCCCAAAGAGACAGACCCACGCAAACTGGAGCTGCTCAACTGGGTACAGACAAGTGAATACTGCAAAACTAAAATAAGTTAAATCAGGGGTCTTCAACATTTTTCAGGTCAGGGACCCTCAAACTGATGGAGAGCTGGAGCAGGGACCCCCAACTATATATATATATATATATGTATGGCATACAGTTGTGTTTTATATTAAATTGGGCCTAGTGTCATGTATAAACAGCTACTCTGTTATTGTACATTCAGTTCTAGGGGGGTATTCCATCGAAGTCACTTAACAAGTCCAGGCTTATCCTGAAATCCTGAGCTGAATTTAGCTCCATCTCCAGTTAAAGCCAAACCAAAGTCACTCAGGCCTGTTGTCCCACTCCTCTCCCAGTTGCTCCATGGACAGAGAGGAGGCGCCCCGGGAATGAAGATGCCTCACCCCTTCCTGATGTGTGGTAGTACGTGCAGATCTTAAGTTCCGCTGTGCGTAAAAGTAAAGCTGTAATGGAACTCTTCACATGTAGCCTAGAGGAAAGGATAAAATCCGTGCAAAGGTGTTTGCAGTTTGACAGGGAGCGAGAGGTAAGGTAATGAAGAGAGAGAGACAGACGTGATGGACAAGTACACAGCCAGAACCCACTGAAAACCAGTTCATCCTCATCCTTCAAAAATGAAGAAATATAAACACATTCGATTTCTTAACCCCCTGCAGTACCTCTGCGACCTCTGAGTTAAATGGTCACATTTTTATATAGAGCTTTTCCACCTTTAAGGCTCTCAAAGTACTTAACATCAAGGAAGCACTCACCCATTCATACACAGATTCATACACCAATGTACACAGACACTGGAGACGAGATGGGTTAAGTGTCTTGCCCAAGAACACAACGACAGCATTCATCTGTGGGAGCTGGAATCACAGCAGCCAACCTGTGGGTCAGTGGATCTAATCGCTCCACCAGTTATATTTATGTCAAGAGCGGGATTTGAACCGCCAACCTTAGGATCAATGGACAATCACTCTACCAACCGAGTTAATACGTACTTGGATTGAACCGCAACTGTCAGTGGACCAGTGTTTCTATTATACACTTTTCCGTGAAGATAAGTTAGTGCAATCCTGGCAATCTAACAGAGTTCAACTGAAGTAAAATGTCTGCAAATGTGATATATCTGTTTCTCCTGTCGTAAGGCTTGATTTAGTCCTGGGTTAGATCTGGTTTAGCTGTCGTGTGGTCCCTAATCTGCATTGGAAAGAGTTATCTGTTAGTATTAGTATAGAAAGGTGTCTGAAACATGAATCCAAGTAAGTATGGCGCTCTCTCGTGTGTTTGCAGGTGAACGCTCTGGAGCAGTCTATGATGGACGCTCTGGTGTTGGACAGAGTCGACTTTGTCAAACTTCTGATCGAAAACGGAGTCAACATCCACCACTTCCTCACCATCCCCCGACTGGAGGAGCTCTACAACACGGTCAGACACATTTCAATATAACATCATTATAGCATTCAACTGAAGCTAAAGCTCAACTAAAGCATAAATACAAAGGTACACTAGGAAGCGGTGGTCGGGGTTTCGGCCTTTCATAGCTTTGCCACGTCTCTGATTATTGAACACCTTGTACTTCTGAACACTCCAGGTAGGCTGCAGCTCTAGAATATGAGGATGGAGGATAATGGGTTCCTGGTAGGGGTGTGCAAAAATATCGGAATATCGATATATCGTATCGTTTAATGTGATGATACAGTATCGATATCGTGGGCTGCTGTATCGATATATCACCAAGAGTATTTTTAGATGTGTTTTACTAAATTATTTTGTTACAGAGCTACAGTTTTGTTGCTTGTGGAGTGAAAGGAAGCTCATTTATGCAACACATTTGATATTTTTACCGTTTTGATGATTAAAATGTTTGTGTTTCATATGAACTTTGCACAAGAAGTGGTTTAACAAAGACTTTTAGTATCACAGCCACGATTTAGCCTTTATTTTTTATTGAACCATATTGAATCAATTTAAAACATATCATATCGAATCGAAAGTGCACTGTATCGAGATATGTATCGTATCGTGGCCTGTGTATCGAGGTATGTATCGTATCGGCAACTTCTTAATGATACCCAGCCTTAGTTCCTGGTAGCTTTGTGTTTGGTTCTTCTTAAAATCTCTTGCAGTTAAATGCGTCTTTTTCTTCTTCTCAACACGTTTCTTGCCACTCTGTTGACTATTTGCAACAAAACGCTTGTTCTGCGGTCACGCCCCAATATGAAAGACTTTTTACAATTTCTGACTATTTAGAGTCAGTTAAATCTTTTTTTTTTTTACCTATTGTGCCTAAGGAAAAGAAGCTGCCTAACAATTCTGCACACCTGGATATAAGGTGCTGATCTCCACACTCTGACCACACTTTCCCTTGTTAAACAATACACATCACCGGATATACAAGAAAACATGATGACGTCACATCTGCGGCGGCAGCCATTTTGGTAAAAAAAAAGCAGCTGTATCAACAAGTCAACATCAACACCGTCAACAGTTACCGGTGTACAACATCAAGAATCGTCATACAACAGTACAACATCAACATTGTCAACAGTTTTTGGCGAGTTTTAACTTTTCAAAGTAACATTTCCTCAACATTCAGTGACTTAGAGTTAGATGATGAAGTCGTGTCAAAACAATTAAATGCAAAACCTACTTCAAAATGAGATGAGTTTTCTCATGACAGACATACATAATGCAGCTGTCAACACAAACGAGCAGCCACACTGACTTTTTGTACACCAGCCACTGTGCACATGCGGAAACAAAACAAAAATGTTTTCTCGTGTGCTTAAATCCAATAAGAATCTAAGTTTGTACAGCCTGGAGTTGGAGAATATGCATAAAAATCCTCGTATGGTCAAAATACCCACTTGCCTAAATATTGTGCACACAGTATAAAACTAAAGCTCAAACTCAAGCATAAATATAAAAGTACATGTTGAAAATGTTGTAGTGATGGATCCGCCAGGTGCTGCTCATCATGAAAACATTTCTGCTTTGCCTGCTCGTCGAAATGGAAAGCAAGACAAGCAAGTGGTGGAGCCTTTACAACAAATATGCAACTTTAAGAAGGAAGAAAAGGAAGAAAAAACATGTAACGTAGTGGGTCAAATGCAGATGGAAAATCCCATTGTTGACAATAAAGTGTACTTCAGAAATGCAAGTGCAAAAATCATGGATCATATCTCATTCTCCATTCATTGCTATTAAAATAAATGTTAATTATTCTTCACAACTTGCATTTTTTCCCTCTCTTTTACAGAAACTAGGACCTCCCAACACGTTGCACTTTGTGGTCAGAGACGTAAAGAAGGTAATCCATATCTTTACTCTACAAAATCAAACTTTTCCTAAACTCGTCTCTTGTTTCCAGGGGAACCTTCCTCCGGATTACCAGATCACATTGATTGACATCGGTCTGGTGCTGGAGTTCCTGATGGGCGGAGCTTATCGCTGTAACTACACCAGGAAAACCTTCAGGACGCTCTACAACAACCTGTACGGACTCAAGCGGGTGAGGGCCTGTTTCTGATGACACTGACCAAGTATTTTTTCTGTATACACACTTGACATACATTAGGGCTGTGTAATTAACCACATTTTTATTTTTTATTTTTTAAATCAAGATCCAATAGTTTCAAATGATTCGTTTTGGGATCTTTTAATAGTGACGTCTACAGCCAATCATCTGTCATTAAAGGCATGTGGTTTGGAGATTTTAGTACTATAAATTTCTACATTTGTTGTATAAAATGCCACTAACTACAAGTCTGCTTTGAGTGTGGTCATTAAATTAAGAGAAAGACACATTTATTTGTTTAAGAAGACTGGTTCATACATGTTTGAGTAATCTTTATTCTCCTGTATTCAAGACGTCATTGCTTAGTCAGGCTGGTGCAACCTAGTGCCTCCGCTCGATTTAATTTCTCTCCAGTGACTAGGTCAGGAATCGGAATACACTAGACGGTTTGCAAGAACCCCAGAAGTTGTGGAACGCGCACAGGCCGATCAGCGAAGAGCTAAAATCAGAGTTGCGATAGCAGACTGCATACTCTATCCTCCTTTGGACTTCCTTTGTCAATACAAACGTCACATTTTTTTATTGCACTTTTAATTCGCAAGTTCGCCTCGGAAAAACGACAATGATCGTTGACAGACATGTTCACTCTCTGCTTTGTTTGCTGTTGTGCCGGCAATTACTTGGACACCACCTGAGCATTCCAGCACATTACATACATCACGACCAAATAGCAGCGATTAGTTAAATGAAAAAAGTACCCACCTACTGTTGAGCAAACAAATCCTAATGCTGCGAGGTCAGACGTTTCCACAAAGTGGAACGGTAGATGAATCAGACTAGTCATTGCTCTGATCAGCCTCTCTTTTCACTGCACCCGTTCACAACCACCGCTCTGTTCTTACCTCTTCCTCAAATTTTAGTTCTTAAAGAGTGATTTGTGTAGGATTTGGCTGCATTGCGTAGTGATTTTGGCATAAATACTTGCTACCGTGGTGTGCAGGTATCCATCAGTGGTGCCAACAACTGCATGACTCTAATAAAATTTAGCTTTTTTGATGTGATGTCTAAGGTGACAGTGAAGTACTAAAACCAATTTCTTCTTTTTTCAGCCCAAAGCTCTGAAACTTCTTGGCATGGAGGTATGTAATCACACGTTATTTAGATTTGGTTTATATTGTACAGTTTGTTTACAGTTTCACATTTTCGTTGCCAGGACGATGAACCGCGACAAAAGGGTAAAGGAAAGAAAACCAAGAAGAAAGAGGAGGAGGTCGACATTGACGTGGACGACCCCGAGGTCAGCAGGTTCCAGTACCCCTTCCACGAGCTGATGGTGTGGGCAGTTCTCATGAAGCGGCAGAAGATGGCGCTGTTCTTGTGGCAGAGGGGTGAGGAGGCCATGGCCAAAGCTCTGGTGGCCTGTAAATTGTACAAAGCCATGGCTCACGAGTCGTCTCAGAGTGAACTGGTGGACGACATCTACCAAGACCTGGAGAACAACTCAAAGTAAGGAACAGTAACAAACTTTCTATAGCTTAGAGGCCATATTGTGCAAGATGTAAGTTGTTCTTTTGTTTGTAAAATAGTTTGCCTTGAAAATTATTAGAAAAATTACTTGGACCATCTTCTTTTTCATAATAATAATGCACTGGATTTATATACATCCTTCACAGACATTACATTGCATTATGTAGTGGTGCTACGTTACTATTATAACTGCTGTGTCCCATTATGTTATTTCTATTTAATACATATCAAAAGATTGTACAAAAAAAATAACACAGCTGTCTCTTGTTCCAGAGAGTTTGGTCAGCTGGCGTATGAGCTTCTGGACCAGTCGTACAAACGTGATGAGCAGGTGGCCATGAAGCTCCTGACCTACCAACTGAAGAACTGGAGCAACTCCACCTGCCTCAAACTGGCCGTGGCCGCGAAACACCGAGACTTCATCGCTCACACCTGCAGCCAGATGCTCCTCACGGACATGTGGATGGGCTGTCTGCGCATGGGCAAAAGCAACAGCCTCAAGGTAAGATCTGGGTTTGGGCAGAACAGAGCTGCCCACTACAACGAACATGAGCTACTGGGGGTCAATCCCAAAGCCATATCTGACGGAAGATTTACTGTCCACTAGGGATCACATGATTAGTCGACTAATAGATAATTGATCCTTAAGAATTTTGTCAATCATGTTCATTTTTAATCAACAACCCAAATGTAGGTTGCTGTGCGTAGTGCAAGGCAAGGCAAGTTTATTTGTATAGCACAATTCGTACACAAAGTGCTTTACAGAAGAAGAAATACATTAAAATCAGGATAAAAACAAATCAAAACATAAATAATCATCATAAAATTAAAGATTAAAATTTAAAAAGAGAGAGAGACATTAATTACATAAATTAGCGCAAGGAGACAAGGCTGCGTCTGACAGTGCAAACACTTGGAGTTGCGGCCTCACAATCCCACATTTGGGCTCTGGCTCCTTGGAGATCACTGAATGGTAACTCAGTGAGTGTGTTTACAGCACATCAGTGTCCCGGGTATGATCGGGTTTTTTGAGTATCCCGGTTTCGTCATGGTGCATGTGAACGCAGTATCCCGATTACTGCAACATAAAGTTGAGTGCACAGGCGTCCAGACAAACACTTTTCAGTCTTTTCATCACAACAGCAGCCAAAATAAATAAAGTGAGTGAAATGACTCTTAAATAAAGCACTGTACTAAGAGCTAAGAGCAGCACTTATAGTTTATGCAAATGAGCTGTATGGTTTTAAGTTTTGTTTCTGTAAAACGTAAACAAATGTGTCAAAGCTGCATTAAAGACATTCTAATGTCAAACGGGCTGATGTGGCTCTGTAGTGGTTATGGTTTATATGTTGTAAAGTTGAGTTTATTCATGCAGATTAGTAATAGTAATAAAGATGATTATTTTAATATTAAAACGTTAATGATTAATCGAAAATCGATCATTAAGTCTCCCGACAATCTATTAAGAAAATTTTATCAAATGCCCATCCCTAGTATCCACATTGAGTAGAGCCTGTACTCCTTGTCCTACCACAAGGGTCAGTGCTTGGACCTCTTCTGTTGTCACTGTACATGCCCTCCCCTTCTTCATTATCAAACTGTCTGATGAAAACTGAATAATGAAGCATTGACCAATAATAATACTGCTAAACAACTATTAGTTATACATGAAATGCAAATAAAATCTCTCTGTATCCTGGTCCAAATCCTATAAGATGGTCACATGGGATTTGTGTAGGATCTGGCTGCATTGTGTAGTGATTTTGGCCAAAGTTCTGAGTTTTTATCAACATATAAACTTTTATGATTGCTTTGGTATTTTAGGTGATTTTGGGCATCATCTTCCCTCCGTTCATTTTACTCATGGACTTTCGTCTCGGAGATGAGTCTTCCAGTGAGGAGCCCAAAGGCAAAGATGAAGATAACAAGTCCAACAAGGTATGGACTACCACCACCAGAGCTCACTGTAATACTACTGTACTACTAATTACACCAGTGTTTTAATGTCATATCTTCTTTTTTTCTTTTTTCCAAGGATGCAGTGTCAAACGTTGACACCACCTCTAAAAAAGGAGATGAAGAGGAGGACCCAAAGGCCCATAAGAAGAGAGTTCCAATTGGGAAGAAGATTTATGAGTTTTACAACGCGCCGTTCACAAAATTCTGGTTCAACACTGTGAGTACATTTGGTTTTTGGTTTTATAATTTTACTTTTTTTCAAGCCAGGTTCTCATTGGCCCCAGGTGAATTGTTTTTTGATGTTTTTGATTGTCAAAAGTTTCGAAAATCAGAGGCCAAACAATACAAAACTACACAGGAAAAAGTGGACGGTTAAAATTTCAGGGTAAAAGTAGTTTTTTAACACAAAAAAACGTTATTTTAACTATTTGAAAAGTTAAATTGGGGGTCCAAGTTGGGCTTATTTGCCAGAGTTGATATGGTTGAAGTTAATTCAACTTCGCCAAGTGTTAATTCAACTTCCCTTAGTGTTGAATTTGGCACCTCCCTCCCACCACTTCAAACTTCTGTGAGAGAAGACCAGTTTGAACCAGTTTTGCACATAATTTCATCTTAAATTAACTAAAATAAAGTGTAAAAATAAAATACCTCTGTGTGTTGTTTAGCTAAATCAGAATAACTCTACAAAGTGTTATTTGTTTACTCTCAAACCATTAATATAACTCTTGATTTCGAGGTTAAACAGGAACTTTGATCCAGTGTTACTTAATTAACGTTTCAAAAAAGGTAAAATTAACTCTAGAACGGATTGAATCTGATTCTAAAAAAAATGATTCTGTGAGAGTCAATTTTAACACTCCACTTTTTGCTGTGTAGAATAGAAACTAGATACTCATTTGATTAGGTATCGATACTTAAAAAAGTCACATTCACGAGCTTTCCTGAATAGATTTAGAATGATCTTGAGCTGTATCAGAACAAGTATAAGAGCACAGAGACTAGTAAACGCCCATGGACCAACTATGGACCACTGAGATTACATAAATATAAGACTACAGGGTATATAAAAGAAAGTACAATGATTTAATGTTGAAAATCACATTCTGTTGTCTAAATAAAGAGTGTTATCATTGTGTTATCGACACTGTTTTGAGTCTATTAGTAATGAAATTGAGTTTGAAATGTTAATATCACAACAACACTAAATGGTCCCATCACAATATTTTTCCAGGACAGAATTTGCAGTTTGAGTATATCAAACAGAAAGATTTAAAAACCCACAGACTATAGTTTTTAACCTGTATTTTCCTCTGTTGGTGTCTATCCTTGGGCGTTGTTGTGTCAGATCTCGTACCTGGTTTATCTGATGCTCTACAACTACATCATCCTGGTGAAGATGGAGCGATGGCCGTCTCTTCAGGAGTGGATCGTCATCTCTTACATCATCACCCTGGGCCTCGAGAAAGTCCGACAGGTACCGACACCTGTAATAAATAATACCATTACAACCAGTGTTGGGAATATCAGTGCTGAAGTATAACTGAGCTACATTTTCGGTAATGGAGTAATGTAATTAATTAACTCCCCATCGTTACAACGTCGTTATCGTTACTGGGAAAGCAAAGTGACACGTTACATTTGGGTTGAATGAGGTGCCGCTGTGTCAGGCTTCATGCAGCGGACACACACATCATCAGCAGGAGCAGGGAGCTCCGGCCAAGATGATTGGTTAAGAAGTTGGGTGGGCGGAGTCTTGTTATTGTTATTGCCTTGTTGTTTCTTTTTCGCACAGTTTGACCTAAATGAGACAAACTCAACGAGAATGCGACAATGGCGACGACAAGACAGGGACATTCAAAGGCAGCGTTTTCAAACTGGAAATGCCCATACTGTTTCTCCCTTATTGAAATAAAGGGACAGAATGTGTATGTAAAGTGCAACTCAGTGCAGACTGTGGCTGGACTACTGTAATGAAAAAAAAATAAACAATCGCTGAAATGAAAAAATCACAAAAATCTGTCCACGTCTCAGCCTCCCTCACTCCAGGTCCAACTCCCCCTGAATCCTAAAGCAAGAAGAACCTCTCGCTGCTGTTCACCCCGAGCACTGGTGCAGTGAGCGTGAGCACTAGCCAAGATGGAGATGGAGCCACTGCATTAAAGCCAAACTCAATTTTTTGGGCAATAGTACATAACATGAAAAATAGCAAGTTATAGTAATGAATGACTTTTACAGCATGTTGACTCGGTTACTAACTTATGGGGGAAGTAATTTGTGGTAACTAATTACATTTTTAAAGAAAATGCCCAACACTGACTACAACTCAAGTTACTACGAACACTACTTCTAAAACTTATATGACTCTGGCTTTATTTCAACCACTACCACAACTTCTTTGACAACTTACTAACCACTGGGGTTATAGGCCGACTGTTTTAAATATGTAAAAATATACGCTGATACTTTGCAGTGACATTACGCTGGGGGGTATTGCATGTTGTGTTTATGGAGGAATGTTCAGCAGTTACCATGGTGACATAATGCACACCTTTGGAAACACAACCAAATACGTTTTTAAATGGCCTAAAACTAAAGAAATACACAAAATACATTTAAACATCACATTTTTAGAAGCCTGTGATCAAGACGAGCATTTATGGACTTGTTTAGGTTCCGTATAAGTAAGAGTGACTGAAAAACTTTTGACTAATGTTGGTAATGTTATTATTATTTGAGAGGGACTTGTTCAGCAGCACAAAATCAGACCTATTGTAGAGCAGAGTCAGTCATAGTGTTAAAACAAAGCTCAGATTAAAGTCTAACTTCAGTAACAGCCGCAGACAGAGCAGTGCCTCGGGTTAATTTCATCTCTCTGGGAATGTTGATGACATCAGCTGCAAAATATCAATATTATTCATCATGTTACACTCGTCCCTCAGATCCTGATGTCGGAGCCGGGGAAGCTGAAGCAGAAGATAAACGTGTGGCTGGAGGATTACTGGAACATCACGGACCTGGCCGCCATCTCCACCTTCCTCCTGGGGCTGTTGCTACGGTTACAGGCCGAACCCTACATGGGCTACGGCCGCGTCATCTACTGCGTGGACATCATCTTCTGGTACATCCGGGTGCTCGACATCTTCGGAGTCAACAAGTACCTGGGCCCCTATGTCATGATGATCGGGAAAATGGTGAGAACTCAAATACCAGGGGCAAGGACAAGTAAAGGTACAAAATAATAACAACACTCAAGCAGTTCAAAATAGTGGTAATAATATGAAAAATATTTGGGGAAATTGTGGTCTGGATGTAACAAACTTTTATAATTAAGCAGTTGCAATTAGAATGACAAAAATAATGCACTAAATTTCAAATTATATCTAAAACACAAGAAACACAAATTTTCACGTCATTTAATATTGTCAACATAAAGGTTTTGTCTCTTGAAGATTGACTCACAGTGGGAAGCATAACCAAAACTTTTACCCAAGAAAAAAATAAATAAAATTTTCTCTCACATCACCTTTGCAGGTTTAATGATGCTTGAAAAGGTGAAACTGGAACAGACAAATGTAAAATTACAATATGCCTGTTACAATTACAAAAATATACAGTAAACAAGATTATAAGTACAAGGTTGTAAATCCACACATTGACACCGTTTTGAGAGCTGCATGGTTTGCATGTAATTAACATGTTCCAATACTAGCATATGGGGAAGCTGGCCAAAGTGATCAAAGTAGGAGGCAGATGCAACAAAATAAAGTGTCCTTAACCCAGACAGCATTTATTTTAAAACAGACTTCTGGAGTTCATCAACAAAGGTACAAATAGACAAAAAATAAATAACTCAAAGCAAAAACACCAAACACCTGCACAGAAGTCTCTCCCCAATTGATGACACCTGCTTTGCTTTTATACCCCGCCCAGCAGGAAGTACCTCCCCCCAGATGGGTATCCAGGTAACTCCCAAAGCAAAGCAAGTCCCCTTTCAAAATAAAAATGTTTAACATAAACTAACGTGAATTTGAAATGAGACAAAGGCCGCCTTTGTCCCATAGCATTACAGGCATCACAATGCTGGAATTACAAATAATTATGACTAAAGTTGTTAAACATGGGTACAAAATACATACCGGCAATGCAACCTCAGAATAAAGAAATTTTCAGCCTTGCGGACTGTTACTTATGTTCAATAAATTTTGTTCAATAAAGTTCTGTTTAAAGCTCAGCCTGCAATTCCGAAAGTGTCCACTAGATGACACCATACACAAGCGAGATTTAAAGGTTGTATTGAGGACTTTTTTTTTGTTTCAAATTGTCAGTGAAAGTTTAAAATACCACTACAGAGACACAGCAGCCTTGTAATTATGATGACCAAAAAAAAAAAAAAAAGAATGAAAATCTATCAACTGTGGATGTAGTTGAGGCCAGATAAACATCAGCCAATAGATAACGAGGCTACATCATTTTCTATTAGCTGTTAGGTTGTTAAACTCCCTACATTTCTAGTGTAACTGACTCGCCGTCGGGCTGGGATTACGTGGTTTATGGAGCGGTTCTTAGAGGCTTTTTCAAACTGTAGCTTCCTCCGCAATTCGCACAAAGTTTGTTGCGATGGCGGACGAGAATCCACGACCAGTTCGCCGCAAAAGAAAGTTGGTTTTTGAGGTCGCTGAAAGAAGAAGAGAAGGAGAAAAGGAGCGAAGCCAAACTGAGGTGATTCTTGGAGATTCTTTCCAGCGACGGCGCGAGTGAAGCAGACGAAGGGTCTAAAAACTGACACGTCGGTCGCTAAATTACTTCTAGACAAGTCACTTCAACAGTAATTCTGAACGCACACTGGATGTAAACAAATGTGATTTCTAGAGTAAAGAGGCGGGAGGAGATGTTTCTACTGAGGCTGTGGAGGAGGAAGGTGGTGTCACACATGCACAACATTTGAAAAAGGACTGTCGCTGTATTTCTCTTCCCTTAAAAAATCCTCTATACAACCTTTAACAAAATTAAAGCCCACTGAATTACACATTTTAAACATATTTAAACAACTTTTTCCGCACAACAGAACAATCACACTGTCAAATATATTACTCAAGAAGTAAAAGTATGAGGAATGACTCAGTATTAAATTACATTTTATTTAAAAGTTAGTTAGTTCATTAATCAGTCCCACATTCCTGTAAATGTTGATGTTCAACTATTGCACAAAAGATGAATGGAGCATAAAAAAGGTGTAGGTCTACATGCAAAAAATGTAGACCTACGCAAACATTAGAATAACCATTATCCATTGAAAACTGGAAAAGTTAAACAACCAAACCTGCAGTGAAATCAATGAAAAATGTCATCTTGCCTTCACTCTCTCCACAGCAAAAAGTGAAGTGTTAAAATTGACTCTCACAGAATCAACTTTAACATTTTCTCAGAGTTTATATGAGTCCAATCTGTTCTAGAGTTAATTTAACATTTTTGGAAAAAAGTTAATTAAGTAACACTGGACCAAAGTTCCTGTTTAACCTCGAAATCCAGAGTTACATGAACGTTTTGAGAGTAAACAGATAACACTTTGTAGAGTTATTCTGATTTCGCTAAACAACACACAGAGTTGTATTATTTTATTTTTACTTTATTTGAGTTAATTTAAGATGAAATGATGTACAAAACTGGTTCAAACTGGTCTTCTTCTCACAAGAGTTTGAAATGGTGAATGGGAGGAGCCAAATTAACACTAAGAGAAGTTGAATTAACACTAGAAGAAGTTGAATTAACCTCAACCACATCAACTTTGACAAATAACCCCAACTCAAACCCCCATTTAACTTTCAAATAGTTAAAATAACACGGTTGGTGTTAAAAACTACTCTGAAATATTTTACCCTAAAATTTGAACCCTCCTTTTTGCTGTGTCCCTTCTCTCTCTTGCTCTCTATCTCTTTCTCCTTTTTGCTCTTCTCTTCCCTTTATTTCTTCCCTCTGATGCTCTCACCTTCTCTCCTGTCTTTCTTGCTCTTTCCCTCTTCCTCTTTCTCTCTTATATCCCTTCTGTTTTTCTTTCCTTACTCCCACTATCTCTCTCTCTTTCTCTCGTTGATCCCTCCCTCTTTCTCCCTCTCTCAGATGATAGACATGCTGTACTTCGTGGTGATCATGCTGGTGGTCCTGATGAGTTTCGGCGTGGCGAGACAGGCCATCCTGCACCCGGACGAGGAGCCCACGTGGCGCCTGGCGAGGAACATCTTCTACATGCCGTACTGGATGATCTACGGAGAGGTGTTTGCGGACTCCATTGACCGTAAGACTAGAGTTCATAGTAAGATCCTTCAGTCAGTCAGACCGTCTCCTCCAGGGCATCTGTGCATTCACTCCAGGACTGAAAACAACGTCAAGCACTGGGAAAGAAAATACAGTTTCCTTCAACACTTTAATATTGGCATCCTTGGTCATTTTTTTCATCTGTTTGGTCAAAGTGCATTAAAATACAAGTAATTAAAGCAATAGTGTGTAACTTTTCCTAACAACAGAGTAAAAGAAAAGCATGTTTTTTCAGTACGGATGTTTTTATTGCACTGAAAAACGTGCGTGTTTACTCTGAGCCAGCTTGCATCTCCACAAACCTGACTCATATTTGGCCATGGGTGAGGGCCTACTTCTGCTTGTTTCCATGGAAATGTGGTTCCACAGTCTGGCAGAATTCATAACTATATCAATTCAATTCATTTCAATCTTTGTTAAGAACACATGATATCTGATACAGACATATATATATATATATATATATATATATATATCCATGGAGAATGTTCCGAATTATGGCTTTAACTTCCTATTTTCACTAAATCATGCAGCTGACTTTCCATTTCCATAAAGTTACATACTTAGACTTTAATAAATAATCCATCCATCCATTTTCTTTCACTTATCCGAGCAGTCTAAGCAGGAACTCCCAGACTTCCCTCACCCCAGACACTTCCTCCAGCTCCTCCAGGGGGGTCTCAAGGCTTTCCCAGGCCAGCCCAGAGACATAGTCCCTCCAGTGTGTCCTGGGTCTTCCCCGGGGCCTCCTTCCGCTGGGACATGCCTGGAACACCTCCCTGAGGAAGGCACCCAGGAGGCATCCAGAACAGACGCCTGAGCCACCTTAACTGCTCCTCTCAACATGGAGGAGCAGCAGCTCTACTCAAAGCTCCTCCTGTGTGACTGAGCTCCTCACCTTATCTCTAAGGGAGCGCCCAGCCACAATGCAGAGAAAACTCATTTCAGCCTCTTGTATCCGCGATCTCGTCCTTTCAGTCACTACCCAGAGCTCATGACCATAGGTGAGGGGAGGGACGTAGATTAACCTGTAAATCGAGAGCTTTGACTCAGCTCCCTCTTAACCACAACAGTCCAATACAGAGACTGCATCACTGCCGAAGCTGCACCGATCCACCTGTCAATCTTACGCTCCATCCTCCCCTCACTCCTGAACAAGACCCCGAGATACTTGAACTCCTCCACTTGAGGCAGGGACTCTCCACCCACCCGGAAGACAGCAAGCCACCTTTTTCCTGTAATAAATAAGCTATAAATAATTAAGGCCCCACTGTGTAACTTTTAAGCAAAAGGAAAAAAAATGGTAAAAGTAAAAGCTTTTTTTTTTTTTTTTTTTTTTTTAAGTTTTTGTTGCACTGAAAAAGACAGACTAACACACGTCCTTACTGTAAACGTGCTTGAATCTCCACAAACCTGACTCTACCTACTTGTCTCCATGGAAACGATGTGCTGTGACTCGCCGAAGTAATTCACAATTTAAAAAAATAAAAAATCTGATCTTTTGAATGGAAAGACGTCCTAAAATATTGCACATATGAGCAGCTGAAATCCATGAACATTGATCCACTGTTTGACACAAAACATATCTCCATGGAGAATGTTCCAGAGTGTGGTTTTAACTTTCTGTTTCCATGGAATCATGCAGGTGACAAGCCACCTCCAGAAAGTTACGCACTGTTGCTTTAAATAAACTACATTTCCAAAGACATTGTCCGGGATGCTAATATTAGAGAAGGTTATTGTAATAAAAAATAAAAACAAAAACATTCTAAACCTCTTTTTTTGCTGAGGAATACAAACATAAACAAAATGCTAAAATATATCATAAATATTTATAAATGACCTGATAATATAAAAAAAATAAATAAGTAAAGTATAACAAAAACATAAACATTTTAGGATGTTATTTAAGTATTTAAAATGCACAGATGTCGTAGTAGTTATTTGAGCAGTCTCGTGGTGTAACGTCAGTATAATGTGTGCTGTGTCTGCGCCCTCTGCTGGCACGAAAATATGAATTACAAATATTTTAAAATCTTGAAATGAACTTAAAACTAACTTAAACTAAAAAACATTTTAAAAAATCTATATGTATTTACAAAGCAGGGGATGCATACACACATTTTTGTTTTTTTTTTTTAAATGTATGTAGATATTGTCCACAAAAGCATTAAAATAAATGTATTAAATAATTTGCAATAAAATGCCATTGTAAAATATATTTCTTATTTAAATATTAAATGAACTTAAAAATAAAATAAAATTAAATTACTGCTTTAACTCAGTTTTAATAAATGTTAAAATAATTGTATAAGCAAAAATAAATCCTGTTTGGGGGACCAGTCTGTGATGAAATTTTTTACTCTTATTAATGTGTCTCTCTTCTCTCCTGTTTTGTGAACAGTGTACGCCATGGAAATTAACCGTGAGTAAAAGAGACATTTATGTTTTCATTTTCACATTTATAGAGTTTGGTTTTAAGATTTCAGTGATTCAAGTATTTTTTTTTTATTGAACGTATAAAAACTTGATATTATTAGTGATATTAAAATGTTTTTTCAAGTCATCAAAGTAGAATAAAATGAGTTATTTTTATTGACTGTTCAGCCATTTTTGCCTGTAACAATGTAAATGTATGATTTCTGGTGGTCGTTGTGGAAGAAAAATGCACCAAAGCTTTAGTAGTATTATTAAATCCTTCACTAAAGCTCCTGTACAGACTGTTGTGTTCCGTCCTCACAGCCCCGTGTGGTGAGAACATGTACGACGAGGACGGGAAGAAGCTGCCGCCCTGTATCCCCGGGGCCTGGCTCACTCCCGCCATCATGGCCTGTTACCTGCTCGTGGCCAACATCCTCCTGGTGAACCTGCTCATCGCCGTCTTCAAGTGAGATCATGTTATTCAGATATAAGAAACTGTAGGAGCGCATTTACTAGAAAAAAATAAAAACACATGGTCACTATCAAATGCCATTTACTGACATTTAATAAAGCAAAAAGTTGTAAAAACTCCAGAACAAAAAATATGAAAACGTAAAATGCAAGAATATACAGGATACATACAGACATACAGGATTTCTAAAGACGTGTCTGTTGTGATTTTGCAGTAACACGTTCTTCGAGGTGAAGTCCATCTCTAACCAGGTGTGGAAGTTCCAGAGGTACCAGCTGATCATGACGTTCCACGACCGGCCCATCCTCCCTCCTCCTCTCATCGTGTTCCCCCACATCTACCTCACGCTCAGGAGGATCTGCTGCCGCTGCCGTCCCCGCAAGGCAGAGGGCGACCACGACGAGCATGACCGAGGACTGCGTAAGTCAAATATGTGGACATGAAATTTGAAAATATATACATGTAAATTTGATTTGACAGCCTTAAAAATGTAAATACAATACACACATGCAAACACTGCATCGAGAAACTCTGTACTACACACACCCTCCCCACCCCCTCACCCCCCCATTAAAAAAAAAATATTTATTTTATTTTATTTATTTATTTAATAGGGACAGTGCATATTAATGAACATCTACAACATTGCAGTGTAAATATGCCAGATTATAGCAAGACTGCTCATTTCCATCTGTAGTCCCTCGGCAGGTAACACCACAAATTTAAACAAAGCAAAAACAAGTAACAAATCTATACTAAAAGTGTCCACAAGTCTGGTTTTTCTTTAGCCACTCTTTTAAGGAGGACTTGAAGGTGGCAAGAGTTGAAGTTTCTCTTATGATAGTGGCAGACTGTTCCAGAATTTTGTGCCTCTGCCTGAGAGCACACCTTGTCCGAATGTTGTGCGTCTGTGTGGGACGTCACAGTTCCCCGGGCTGTGGCCCTAGTTCCCATCCCACTCACAGTCTTTACTTTAATAAAAATCCTGTAATGGAGGAGGGGCAAGTCCATGCAAATTGTTTTATTATTATTATTATTATTATTATTATTATTATTATTATTATTATTATTATTATTATTATTATTATTATTATATTATTATTATATTATATATTATTAGTATGTGTGTTTAGTTAAATCTGTCTTGTTGTGAATGTGTTGGGTATCCAATCCCTCAACTTGACAAATTATTTTAAAAAAACAAAAAACAAAAAAACAAAAACAACAACAACAAAAAAACAAACAAACATGTGGACCTGAAGAATGACAGTGTCCTTGAGCAAGACACTTCACCCATCTTCCATAGAAAGCCTCACTTCTCTCAGTCTGGCCCAGCTGAGGCAACTGAAGGAGATTACCACCACTAAATATGGAATAAACTTATGATGACTAATAAACTGTAAAGTGAAAAATAAACAGTACAGTAATATATATATATATATATATATATATATATATATATATATATATATATTATATATTATATATTATTTATATATTTTATATATAATTGATATTCTATTTTAATTCTTCTAGTATTTATTTGAAGTTCCTATATAATGATATATTCAATTTTATCCATCTCTACTATAATAAAGTCGTTCTATATGTAATGAAATATGATTTAGGCTATGGTAAATGTCTAAATGACCATGCCTTCGTTCATGTGTTCACTCTGATTCACTCTGGTTCATGTGTTCACCGTGGTTCATGTGTTTCAGAGCTGGTGCTGAGCCCAGAGGAGCTGAAGAGTTTGTATGAGTTCGAGGAGCAGTGTGTGGAGGAATATTTCAGGGAGAAGGAGGACGAGAAACAGTCCTCCAACAACGAGCGCATCCGGGTCACATCTGAGAGGTACGAGTCTATAAGTTGTAGTAATTCCAGCTAAATCAGTTCTTTGTGATCAGATTATGTTAAAACAAAGGTCAGATTAAAGTATAACTTGAGCAACAGCTTCAGACAAAGCAGTCCCTACATTTAACATCACACCCCCAAAGACTATTGACGACATCAGCTGCAAAGTATCAATAAAATCCAAACGCATTATTGTTATGTTTCTGTGATTTGTACTGACTTTGCTGTTGCGTTGTCAGGGTGGAGAACATGTTCATGCGTCTGGAGGAGGTGAACGAGAGGGAGCACTCCATGAAGGCCTCCCTGCAGACCGTGGACCTGCGCCTGGGTCAGCTCGAGGAGTTCTCCGGGCGAATGATGAACGCTCTGGAGAAACTGGCCGGGATAGACCGCTCCCAGCTGGTCCGCTCCAGATCCAGAGACTCGTCCGTCTGCGACCCCTCGGCCCTGATGAGACACGGGAGCATCAACAGCTCGGACGGGTACAGTCTGTACAGGTACCAACTCGAGACGGACGACAAGGGGACGGTCGCCACGGAGACGGAGGAGAGGAAGAGTCAGCTCAGTCCGGAGAGGAGAGGTCCAACAGAGAAAGGCACAGGTGCAGGTAATACAGACTTTTAGATCAAGAATTTATTCCTTTATGTACTTATTATGTAACTGGTTTCCTAATAATTTAAACATGTTTCTTAATATTTGTGTTTAGGTTAGTTTGCTTTATTCATACCCATAGGTAAATTTGTTTTGCAGATTTGAGAGGCTGGTCTCACAATTCACATTTCATTCATTCACACTCGACACAATAAACACGTATAAAAACAAAATGACAAATAACGTAACGTAAAGCTCCAGTGCAGAATCGTTTTGTTCCATGAATCATTAATAAATTCATCACACTTGGCTAAAAATCACAATAAATATTAAATATATAAAAAACATGATTTTCCAAGACTAAAATCTTCTAAAATCGATAGATAAATAGATTACAATTTATTCATAAGTACAACAGCAGCTGGAACGAAGCCTTTTAAGAAGATGTTGAACATCTTTAAGCAATTTCATTTATTACATTTTTTTGTGTCTTGTCATTATATTTTGTCAGATTTTTTGCTGTTATTTTTACTTATATTTCTATATTTTATTTAACTTAGTATAATATGACTTCACTTAAATTTTTGGGGGAAAATGTGTCAATTTTTATTCATTTAAAGATGTGTAAATAAAACTTGCACAATATTCTGATGGAGGATGCGCCACCTGCTTGTCTTAATGGAGATGCTTTTGGGATGTTCCACACTATGGCATTAAACTAAACTTATATAGTGTTTATATATATACTATATACTTATATATATTACAGATATGCATTCTTACTAGGGATGCACCAATACCAATACTGGTATTGAATATCGATGGCAATCTAAGAAACTGAGCTGGATCAAGTATCAGTTCTATGATATCAGTTCAGCTGATGTCGTGGTTGGGCGTTTTATTTGATGTAAGACTATTTACTTCTATTCATACAAAACTATTCAACTAGATTAATTTTGTAGAAAATGTTTTTATGGAAATAAAAATGCCTGTAATTTGGTTTGGTAGCATCACATGTTTTTCTCCAAACAGATCAGGTCAGATATGTTTAAAGAGCCATTAAACAGCCTCCTGAAGCTTTACTCCCCTAAGCAAAATCAAAAAAATCCTCCAGAGTTGGCAGTGACTTCACAATGCCCAGCGGTGCCAGTGGAGGGGACAAGGGTGAGAGGGGCTCCTCACGTACTGCCCATAGACGCCACGTCAATAACCTGCATCTGACTCATTGGCGGCCGTTAGTCCAACCGGAAAATTCAAATGCACTGGCCATTACAGACCGTTACAGACACGGCTTTGACCCAAAAGTCAGATTTTTAACAAATATGCACTAAAATACCAAAATAAGGCCGGGGATAATCAGTAGAAATAAGTGATTTTGGTGTTTAGTGGCCCTTTAATGCCATACTGCAAAACATTTCAGGTAAAGCTGTGGCATCTCCATGGAGGCAAATAAGTTTCTGACCTCTTTCCTGAAAAGTTACACCTTGTACTTAAAAAAACAAAACAAAAACAAACATAATATTATTCATGTCTTGTTCACATATTTATGCTTTTGATTCCAGCCGAGCCCAGTGCTGCGGTGAAGGAGTTTGGCACGACTCTGGAGGTGAGCGGGCAGAAGGAGCGAAGACCCTCTGTATCTTCTAACGTGGACATCCTGATCACACCCAGCGAATCAGAACCCCCGAAACCAGACCAAGACCAAGACCAAGACCAGCCCACTCTGAGTCCTGATCCAACCCAAACGACGCCAACGACTGCAGACAAACCCAAACTGGAGGCTACCACTTCATACCCCCTCGAAAAAGCCAAAGTTATGCAATTTTTATCATCTCCGTCTTTCACCTCTCCTCCCGCTCGAAGAAGAGCCATGAGCAACCAATGGGCAACTAGTTTTACAATGGAGCAGGGGTCCAAATCTCCCATCGTGCACCGCTGGGGGTCAGAACACAAAAAAGTGCACCCCTGTTCGACTTTGGGGCAAGCTTCGGCAGTTTCGGTGGAGAAATTCGAGATACGAAGCAGTGACTCAAAACAAGGAGAAGAGGAGGACGATGAGGACGAGGAGGAGAGGAGGTACCCGGTGCTCAGGTCCAAAAGTCTGAACGAAAAACCGAGAAAGAAGAGAAAAGAGGAAGGAGAGAAGCCGCGTGGGGCGAGCAGCGTCAAAGATCTGGTGTCTGCGTTTAGCTCCAGGACTGAGGGACAACCAGACTCATGAGAACTCAACTTTTTTGCTGCTAAACTGTGGATATAGTGTTTGAAAAGTGTTACCTACTGTTTCTAGTCCCTTTTTTTTTGGGTGAAAACTGGGTAAATTTGCAGCTTTGTGCTAAAAAATGTATAAAAATACATGTGTACTGGCTCCCGTGGCTGTTATAATTTCAGGTAGTACACAGCAAAAAGTGGAGTGTTAAAATTGACTCTCACAGAATCAACTTTAACATTTTCTCAGAGTTTATATGAATCCAATCTGTTCTAGAGTTAATTTTACTTTTTTGGAAAAGTTAATTAAGTAACACTGGACCAAAAGTTCCTGTTTAACCCCGAAATCCAGAGTTATATTAACGTTTTTGAGAGTAAACAGATAACACTTTGTAGAGTTATTCTGATTTCGCTGAACAACATACAGAGGTGTTTTATTTTATTTTTACTTTATTTTAGTTAATTTAAGATGAAATTATGTACAAAACTGGTTCAAACTGGTCTTCTTCTCACAAGAGTTTGAAGTGGTGGATGGGAGGAGCCAAATTAACACTAAGAGAAGTTGAATTAACACTAAGAGAAGTTGAATTAACACTAGAGAAAGTTAAATTAACACTAGAGGAAGTTGAATTAACACTAAGAGAAGTTGAATTAACACTAGAGGAAGTTGAATTAACACTAGAGGAAGTTGAATTAACACTAAGAGAAGTTGAATTAACACTAGAGGAAGTTGAATTAACACTAAGAGAAGTTGAATTAACCTCAACCACATCAACTCTGACAAATAACCCCAACTCAAACCCCCATTTAACTTTCAAACAGTTAAAATAACACTTTTGGTGTAAAAATAACTCTGAAATATTTTACCCTAAAATTTTAACCCTCCAGTTTTTGCTGTGTAGGTGACATCACTCAGGACTGCTCTGATCACAGCCGGGTGTTTCTGACTACAGACACCAGGCTGCAGGAAGACAAAGTTTCGAGTGTGGATACCTGTTCGACCAATCACCTTGCTCCTTATACCTCCAGGTCTCCGCTCACTCTCCCCTTTAATCCTCCAGGTGCTGCTCAGTTTAGCAGCTCACTTAAATGTGTCAGTGGTAGTGAGTCAGTTCTCCCGACATCTGTTGTAAATGCGTTCCATGGCAACAGCTGGGGAAAATATGGATGCCCGAGAAAGTTTAATGTCCAACTGACTCGGTCTGCACCAAACTAGCCCGAGTTTGTGTTTTAGAACCCCGATTTGACTGGCCGTTCCATTGCACTTTCTCGAGGTGGAGGTCGGTTTTCTCCAAGTCCTGAGCACAATAGAAGGCAGCATTAGTCCGACTTTAAAGGGCACATACACTCCTCATCAAAATTTTAAGTTGCAAGAAGTCACATTTTGCACTGTTTAATTTTAAGAAGGTTCTAAGTGCTTCAAAATACAAAAAGAAGAAATGGGAATGAGACAAGAAAAAAACTGAGTAAACAATTTATTGCAAACAACTATTAAACTGAAATAGGCTGTTCATCAGGTGATCAAAAGTTTAAGACCACATCTCAAAAAAAAAAAAGGGGCTCAGTAATGAGTAGCTGTGCCGTTCTTGTTAATCACCTCAAAAATTCATTTCGTCATGGCTTGATTCTAGTGTTTCCAGAAGGACAGTGGGAGTGTTGCTCCATGTGGTGAAGGTGGCTTCACTTAATAGTTGTTTGCAATAAACTCATTTTTTAAATTTTTTATTTGCCATTTATTCAGTGCTTTTTTTTTTTTTTTTTGTCCACATAAGTCACAGTATACATGCCCTATCCCCCCCACACACATAAAATCAATATAAAAGTAGAATGTAGATAAAAAAAGAAAAGAAAATTAACTAAATAATTATACAATAAATAACATAATAGCAATGATGAAGATGATGATGATGATACTTAATAATGAAAAGGATTATATATGTATATAATACATATAACATACATATACTAAACATATACCACATACAATATGCATTCATACAATATGTACACCATATATACATACACCACATCTAATATATATATACAGACACATATATACATACATATATGCACACATACACATATACATACATACAAATAGATAAAATAAATAAATAAATAATATCAACATATTTTCTTGTCCCATTTCTTCTTTTTGCATTGTGAAGCACAACTTAGAACCTTCTTTAGATCCATCAGTGCAAAATGTGAATTCTTGCAGTTTTTCAACAGGTCTTAAAATTTGGATCAGGAGTGTATGTGCAAAACAGACTTTTTGACCTTTGTATATGTTCCCTCATCCAAAACAAACCTGGAGGAGTATTTTGCTTTGTTCAGCATTGTGTGAGGAATCCTTGTTTAGTAAGTCCTCTTCCCATAAAAACAGACTATTTGTCTTTAAGTTAAACAAATTCTGATTATTTCAACAGTCAAATTGTGTTGATTACAAGTGTATACCTCTGAAAAAGTTGTAGTAAGTTCTTTGGAGCGAGCCCTGGGGAGTCTGAACAAAGGCTTGATGAGGGACGGGGCGAGAGGGAACCGTAGACTGTATATATAAATGGACAAAACTAACACATTACTCGCAGCGTTCCAAACAGGAAGTTCACATGCGGCTCTTCCGGCTCCTACTGACACTGGCTCACATTGACTTACATTATAATATTGTCCTTCCTCTCTCTGTAATTGCTGCAGTAACCCTCATCATCTTAAAATGTTAATATTAACCCGCTCTACATGACCCTGGTGTTCTTTTTTGCTATTTTATCCATCAAAAAATATTCCTAATATAGCGCCTGGCTCCTTGCAAGCTTTGGTGACGTCAAACTTGCTTAGTTCACTTTTTTAAACAGTCTATGGGGGGAACAGATGAAGAGCCAGGTGAGGGACGACGGAGGTTTCACATTTGCCATCTACTGGTAAAAAATAAATATAATTAAACTTACAGATGGTAGCTTTAAACCCTATGTGTAGATTTTGTTTCTGTAATTTTCTCTCTGCACTTTTGACTTTTTTAGATAATATTCTATTATGAACAATATTGAATATTTTAGCTAAAGTCCTATATTGTAATTTTAGAACTAAATACATGTATTTTTATGTCTATTATGTCTTCCATTAGTTTCAAAGTCTCATCTACAGCATCTATTTAGTGAGTTATGTGTTTTTAAAAGATGTATTTTTATCTATTACATTTATAAATGCATCACTTATGTAAATATGATCTTGAATTTACATGACTAATTATTTTGCCCCTTTATTTTATTAAGTATCACCAAAATTAACTGTATATAAACGCTGATTAAAGGGAATAAGAACTACCTCTTTCTGTTTTCTGTTTACAAATAAAATGCAGTTAATGGTCGTGTTTTTGGTTCTGTGCAGGTTGAAACACTTCCAAGAAATCAGTAAAAAAGTATTTTGGAGAACCTTATGCTCAAGTAAGTAATTCTGGACGTAACAACTGGTTTATAATTTGAAGTTAGTGCAAATCGAAGGACAAAATATAGATTATAAATAAAAAACTGCATGGTATTTTTAAAGAATAAGTCGCAGCTGAATTGTCTGGATGTGACAGGCCCAAAATCGACAGTAGTTTTAGTGTTTATTATAAAAACAGACGGATTTTAGACTCTCAAAAACAAACCACACACCGCAATGAGCTTAACCTGGTTTTATTAACTTGTTACAGGCAAAAGTTTAGACAATGACATTTAAAAGAAAAGAAATCAGGATATACAGACGATAAATGAAGAGAAAGGAAAGGACAAAAAGCGACAAAACCGAGACGGAGAGCAACAGAAAACCAACATTTAACCGTTAATCTGTTACCTGCAGAGTTTAATTTTTGGATTTGGTCGCAGCTTCAGTGCATTTGGTCCAGTTTCAACAGAAAATATCAAAAGTAAATGGTCCCTGAAGTTTCTAACACTAGTCTGTGAGGTGGGAAAAAACTGATGACGTAAGTGGTTATTAAATCCTTTCACGCGTCATTGTGATTTGTGGCTCCAGAAAATCAGCCGTGCAGTTTTTAAAATAGAAAATCAATGGACCGTTTTCTATTTTATTGTGTTGTGTATTGTGTTTTAGATCAAGATTGCGGTTTACGATGAACAAAACGTAAAATTATCTACATCTGTGACAGTTGCCTGGGACCCAGAAAACACAAACTCGTTTTCAGGTGGGGTGATTGACAGGTGGACTGGCCAATCAGGGACAAGTATGGTCTGAATCGAAAACAAAAACGAAACGACTGCTTACGAGGAAAAAAGAAAGAAAAATATATATCTCAAGTGACTGAAAAACATGAATCAATGAACAAAGCACTAAAATCTGTTAATCTGAGGGAAGAGAAGTTTGATTTTGTTCAAAACGATGGTGACCAATGAGCTGAAATAAACAAATCTGATTGGACGAACATGTTTGTTGCAGGGAGAAATCGTTCTGAACTTGACAGGCAACTGTGTTTGACTAAATATTAGAAAAGAAAAACTAAATAAAACATAATATGTCCTCTTTAAACAGAAAATCTCTACACTTAAAGAGGGGGTATTTACTTCTTTGGGGTACACGTAACATATTTAGATCACTATTTTATTCACCTTTTATTGTTTGAAAATGTTATATTTGCCACAAAAAAGTATTAAAATGCTTCCTCCCGTCCCTTTGTTTTTTGCGCTAAGGCAGGGGTTTCAAACTGGGTGAATATGAGCCTCTCCTTAGAGCTGGTTTAGTCCTCCCAGTGGTTTAGTCCTGGTTAAATCCTGGTTTAAACCTGGTTTAGTCTTGGTTTTAGTTCTGGTTTAGTTCTTGTTTAGTCCTGGTTTTAGACCTGATTTTAGTCCTGGTTTAGTCCTGATTTTAGTCCTGGTTTAGTCCTGGTTTTAGTTCTGATTCAGTCCTGTTTCAGTCCTGGTTTAGACCTGGCTGGTTTTAGTCCTGATTTTAATCCTGGTTTTAGTTCTGGTTTTAGTTCTGGTTTAGTCCTGGTTTAGACCTGGTTTTAGTCCTGGTTTAGTCCTGGTTCAGTCCTGGTTTAGTCCTGGTTTTAGTTCTGGTTTAGTCCTGGTTTAGACCTGGTTTTAGTCCTGGTTTAGTCCTGGTTTAGTCCTGGTTTAGTCCTGGTTTTCCTGGTTTGTTCTGGTTTATTCCTGGTTTAGACCTGATTTTAGTCCTGGTTCAGTCCTGGTTTAGTCCTGGTTTAGACTTGATTTTAGTCCTGGTTTAGACCTGGTTCTAGTCCTGATTTTAGTCCTGGTTTAGTCCTGATTCAGTCCTGGTTTAGTCCTGGTTTTAGTTCTGGTTTAGTCCTGGTTTAGACCTGATTTTAGTCCTGGTTTAGTCCTGGTTTTAGTTCTGGTTTCCTGGTTTAGTCCTGGTTTAGTCTGGTTTAGTCCTGGTTTAGTTTAGTCCTGGTTTTAGTTCTGGTTTTAGTTCTGGTTTAGTCCTGGTTTAGACCTGATTTTAGTCCCAATTTAGTCCTGGTTTATTCCTGGTACAGTCCTGGTTTAGACCTGGTTTAGACTTGATTTTAGTCCTGGTTTAGTCCTGGTTTTAGTTCTGGTTTAGTCCTGATTCAGTCCTGGTTCTGTCTGAGAGATCGCTAAATTATTTAAACCTTTTCTGGGATGATTTTTGATGAAGGAACAACATTATAACATGGTAGAAACCTAATAAAATAAAATAAAATAAAAACAGCACAATACCCCCTCTTTAACATCGTCTCATCACCCACCCCAAACCATGACATCACAAATTGAGTAGATTTTTTTTCCAGCTGTGACTCCTCCTACTTGATCTTGCTGTCTGGGGTCCCGGCGGGTTTGCTGGATTGACCTTTGACCTTGTTGTCGTAGGTGCCCTGGTGCCTGTAGGAGCTGACGTAGCCCGTGTTCTCCACCAGGTACTCGCGCCCCTCCCGCCCCCGGCCCCGCCCACTCCCGTCAAAACGCTCCTTGTGGGACCCCGTGTACCGGGACGTGTCGGTGAGACGGTCCACTGCGCCAGTTCTGTCCACTTTCTGAAAGAGATAAAAACATAATAAACAAAAAATAAGGTTCAAGGTTCAAGATTCTTTGTCATTCGAGCATCAGAGAGAAAAACATGACAGAACGAAATGTGTTCCTCGAGGCCCAGTGATTAAAAGAGATAAGAACAATAATAAATATTAGGGTTGGGCAAAAATAAAAAATATTAATCGCATTAATCGCTTGATTTTGAGTGTTATACGCAAAACCAATTGATGAATTAAAAAGCAGCGTTTAGCGCACTTTTATTGGAAATGTAAATGAACCCTCAGAGCCTTCAAGGTTTTCCGTGAAGGCTCAAGAAAAAAATATTGAATTAATTTTTTCAATACTTTTATTTTTATATATATATATTTTTTTCAATATGTTTTATTCAGTGAGTAATAAACACTGCACTAGTAATAATTTTTAGATCATTGTTTTAAACTTGGACTCATATTTCTTGGGAAACAAAGGGTTAATATAATGGAATGGAAATGGACCAATCACAGTTTTTCTTCCAGTGGTATCTGGGTAAATCAGTGACTCCCCCTGCAGCGCTGAACTAAACAAACACCTGCAGGAACTTCGGTGGCTGGAACGAAATTTGAGATTGACAGTTGTCTGAGCCAATCATATTTCACTGAGTTATGGGCGGGATCATATCACGAAATCTTCCGGACCTTCGTGAATACCCTGTAATAGCGTGATGTAAGTGAGACCTCAGTGACGAAAACCATACTGGATACCTCGATATGGATGGAGAAGAACGAGAAAGACCATTGAACTGGAGCCCGCAGAAGCTCAGAGCCCACGGCTGGTCCCGCGGAGACTCGGACAAGTTGCATCTCACGAGGTCAGAAAAAAAGTGAAAAAAGTGTAAAGATGTCAAACTTAAAGAAACGCTCGCCATGCACTTTTTCAAAATAAAAGCCATTGAGCATAGACATTTACAATAAAAAAAATAAAAAATTAAATTAAAACGGTGTTAATGACGTTAAAATTATTGTCGGCGATAATTAATTAATTAGTTAACGCAAAATTAAATGCGTTAACGTGCCCGGCCCTAATAAATACCATATTTTTCGGACTATAAGTCGCACATTTTTCATGGTTTGGGTGTTTCCTGGGATTTATACTCCAGTGCGACTTATATATTAAAATTCTTACTCTGACAGCTAACAGAGGGCGCTGTAGTTTTGTGTGTCAGTATCTGCTGCTCCTGTTCCTCCTGTACCACTGTCACTTCACTCTACTGCACATGTCTCCTGCAGAAAGAGCGTCTGTCCTGTCTGTATCATGTCAGTCGATCGCACCGTTACTTCTGTACCAATTTAAACAAACTTATAGAGACGACTGAGAAGACTGAACAAAAATGCCTCCAAAATGAAAATCATATTTTAAGGATTACAAGATGCAAGTAGTGAAATATTCAGCCGAAAACAATAATCGAGCAGCAGAAAGAAAGTTTGGAGTGAAATTGGTGGAAAGCAGGGATGGAGAACACAGCTTCACGGTAACCAGGACGGTGTGCCAGGCAACTTTCCTGAAAGTCACTGGATGAATCGACAAAGTCTGGACTTCAGTGACACCGAAACCATCCTGTCAGGATTCAGAAAGACCCAAATAATTGTCATTGGAACTGATACTGAGTCTGACGACAGCGACACAGAAGAGGAAGCGGCGCTCTGTTTACCTCTGGAGGTCGCGGAGTTGCTCAGAAGTGACACCGAGGATGAAGAATTGAATGGATTTAGTGATTTGGAGTGAGATGGAGAGTTTGTTAAACTTGTTCTGTTCTGTTGTTTATGTTATAGTTTATCTGAAGAACTGTTCATATGTGACGTTAACAGTCTGTTGTCTGTCGTCGTGTCCTCCAATGCTCATGAGGGACACTTTTAGGGCGTTTGAAGTTCACAATGGAGATCACATACAAGTCACATTTAAATGGAAATGTGAACAACCTTGCAAAAAAAATCAAATTTCACAAAAAAATCCAAATTGAGCATTAAGTCCTGCAGTCTGAACGTAGCTTAACTGTGAATGTTACCTTAACACTTTTTAGCTGGTAAAATCTGGTAAACATCTTTGGATGGTGAAAGTAAATAGTTTTCTATAAAATTCCTGTTCATGGGTGACATTTTGAGGACATTTGACCATTCAAAAGATTAGATTCTGCTTTAAATTGTTAGTTTCTATGGTACAAAGGTACATTCAAAGGTCCTGCATTATACAAAATGAATTGTTGTGAGCTTTAACCCTTGTTATAATGTTGTTTTAGCACCAAAAACATACCTGGAGTTGTGTTTTGTTTCATTCACACAGCCTAAATGTGCAGGGTTTGTGTGTTAAACATGTTTGAAAGAAATAAAACAAAACTCCAGGTGTGTTTTTGATGATAAAACAACATTATAGCAGATTAGAAAATAGAGTAACATGGGCTCTTTGATGAGACTGTAAAGAACAATGAATGTGTTTAGCTGAATTTGTATTTATCTGAAGAAAAACTAAGTAATTGAGAAAGGAATAAAATAATATATAATCAAATAAAAATGTAATGTAGTGTGGTAAAGCTCTTTCTCTGACCGTGACCCCAGCGTTGGCGGGCTCCTTCCCCTCGATGAGTTTGTAGACGGACTGAAGCGCCTCCTCTTTGCTCTGGTCTGGAAACCTCTTCTGACACAACATCTCCAGGGCCTTCTTAAAGTCTGCGTAGGACATCCCACGAGACGTCTTTGGTCTAAAAACACCGGGTCACAGCTGGATTTTAACTTCAGGCGTGTGAATACTGCGTGAAAGGGTTTGTGAGAAACTATAGGAACACTTTTTGTGGGTTTATCAAACATTTATAGTACTTTTTCTTGCTCATTATTTCACTCGTAGGAGCTAAAACCAGGGACAGCAGAATGGACTCACACAAGTTTGGAGAAGATGATGTCCGTGTCTGTGCTGGTCACGTGTTTCCCGTCGATGATCTTACAGTCTTTGCAGAGTTTGGCCCATTTCTGACCCGGCATCTCCGAGGACGCCCCGGCTTTGTGGTCCCCGTGCGCCGCGAACCTCCTGAAGGCCGCCAGCAGCTCGTCCACGTCAGAGCTCTTCGCCATCACGCTGAGATCTGAAAAACTGGAATACAACACAACGTGGAACAATATGAGCTATTTTGACTGTTCGACTTCAGTTCTCATTCAGGTTCAGGTTTAGTCCAGGTTACTCGTGTGTTCCAGGCAACAGGGAACTGCGATATTCACCACCTCCTACTTGAAAAAACGCCCTGGAACACTGGAAATTCTACTTGTGAACTGAGAGATGGTTTGAGGACTCGCACTTCACATAGGAGATAAACTGTGAAATATTATAACAATGATAACCTCAAAACCACATTTTTATAGTGATTAACAAACACATAAACCATGTACACATTTGATAGAGGTAGGGTGACCAGATTTTCAAAATAAAAAACTGGGACATCCCTGGTTTGGGTTGGTAATAATAAAACTGTGAAACGAGTGTATAATGGAGGAAAATTGTTTTGCACTTGGCACTAAAGTGAGACAGTACAGTCACATTTTCATTGTGTTTTGGTCATTTCTAAGCAGATTTTCTGTATTTTACTTCAACAAATGAAAATGTATGCCTCTCTTTACTCTTTACTCTTGGCAGAGATCAAATTGGTCAAAAACTGGGACACTTGGGACATTTCTTGTATAAAACTGGGACAAATCCAAATGGTTTTGGATAAATCTGCTGGGACAGGGGACAGAGAACTCAAAACTGGGACTGTCCCGGGTAAATAGGAAAGGCAGTCACCCTAGATCAGCAAAAGGTGAGACCTGCCTAGGTGCCAAAGAGTCACTGGGGAGGTGCAACACATGCGGACTAAACCAGGATTGATCCCAGGACTGAACCAGAACTGAACCAGGACTTGAGTGTCGGGACGGGCCTGGAGGTGCGCCTGCAGAGACTGTAGGGTGACTGCAGGTGAAAGGACCGGCGTAGAGCTCCGCTCCTCACGATGCCTGACCGCGCTTTGTGGACACCCTGCTCCACAGGCTCAAGGTTCTCCCTCTCTCTCATGTCCAAGATTAGTCCTTGTTTAGACCTGGTTTAGTCCTGGTTTAGTCCAGGTTTAGACCTGGTTTAGACCTGGTTTAGTCCTGGTTTAGACCTGGTTTAGACCTAGTTTAGTCCTGGTTTAGTCCTGGTTTAGTCCTGGTTTAGACCTGGTTTAGACCTGGTTTAGTCCTGGTTTAGTCCTGGTTTAGTCTCGGTGTCCTACTGATGTTCAGTGATGTTAAAAGTCGCCTGCATGAAGTTGGAAATTTTTGCTGTTGCAAATATCGTTTATGAATGCACTTTTAAAGAAAATATAAATACAATATTAAAAAAAAAATATATATATAATCAGGTTTTATTGAAACTCATCATTGGCAGGAACACAAAAGATGCATTTATCTCAAAGGCCTGTGTAGGAGGGCATATGGGATTTTGCGCGCGGGGGGGGGCTGCCCTAAACAGAGGTTAAATCTAATTATATACATACATCCCAGTGGAATGCAGTAGAAGTCCAGGATGGATCAGTTTAATGTGTTCTTTACGTTTGTCTGATCCTTCAGTGCTGTTTGGACCAGAGAGCACAGGGATCCATCTCCAGATCTGTGGCTCTGTCTGGAGCTGGAGGATTCAGATGTACGCTCAGATGTTTTGGATTGATGAAGGAAACCTGAGTACCCAGAGGAAACCAACAAAGACACAGCTTGAGGGGACAGTGCTATAGTAAGTAATTTGCCCATACGTAGAGTGTAATAGTGTCTCTGGAAATTGCAGGTTTTGTACGAAGCAGACTCAGGACAGAGTGGTGAGTCTGTGCTAGATTCCTGCTGACCATGTTTACGACTTCACCTCTCTGTGCTCACCTGCCCCACAAAGCTCCTGTGTCCCTGTTCTACAAACAAATGCCCCAAGAAACCAAACACTGCAGAAAATCAAAGCTCATTCTTACAGTTTCCATTTGTTGTATTGTTTTTGACCTGGAATTGTTCTGGTGTGGTCATGAGCTGATGTAGTCCGGGTTTAGTCCAAGTTAGATTCCCGGTGTGGTTGGTTTTGGGCTTCCTGGTGCCTACACTCTACACGCTCTAATCCTGCCATGGCCACGCTTTACCAGAAGTCACCAAACCTTTTTTCTCCGGGGGACACCTGACTGTGATGGGAGCCGGGGTCGGGTCATATAACAGAATTGTACCACCCTGATGACGCAAATTATATTACATATCAGATAAACTGCATGGTTCTTACACAAAAAAACCAACAAAAATAATCGTTCGTCCCCTGTTATTTGAAAACTCTGCACTCTCTGTCAAATTTTCTTTCTATAACACAAGACGTTTTGTTGTCCTTAACTGCACTACAGAACTTCGCGCATGCGTTGACGGTCACTGTTTGATCTCAAGCTTGTCAGGTGACGAAAATTCGGCAAAAAGTGTAACTACGTCATGTAATTATTTACACTGTTGGGCAAGTTACTTTAAAACTGTAATGCGTTATTTATTACTTATTACTGTCATTTCATAGTAATTTGTTACATTACAATATGACTGCATTTAAAATGTAAGGCATTACATTACTATTGCATTACTTTAAGTTACTCTCACCAAAATAACTGCGAAAAAGCTGAACTTTTGAGCCGTATATGGACTGAACCAGGACTAAACAAGGTCTAAACCAGGACTAAACCAGAGCTGAACCAGGACTAAACCAGGACTATAACAGGACTAACCTCAGACTGATTCCAGGACTGAAGTGGAGGACTAAACAAGAACTGAACTAGGACTAAAACAGGACTCACTGTCAGGACAGGCTCGAAGGTGACGCAGGAGAAAGGAGCGGCTCTGCTCCGCACCTCATGGAGGTAAGTGCGGCTGTCGCCCGATCGCTCTTTATGGACCCTGCTGCTCAGGCTCACGGTCCTGATTTCAGCAACTATTTGCGGGTACAAGACCCGGTGCAAAACTCTGCGTGTCCAGAAGTCCAACTTTTTGTGCGATGGTTTGCATCGTCCTCTGTCTTTTGGGTGTGAGCGCAGGAGCCTTTGTCGGTGCAGAACGTTTCGTCGACGTTGTGGATTTTGTCGGAGAGAAAACTTGCAGACATACAGCACTTCAGAAGCACACTGCTAGAGATTGAACATTTATTTAAATTTGGCAGCTGAACATATTCTGTACTGTACTGTACAGGAGACAGGAGTCCCTCAGCCGATCAGGACACAGCGGGAGGAACGCAATACGTGTTCATACACTAAAAACAAAAGGCATGCAAAATTGCACAAAAAAAAAAAATTCTAAAAATCAGCGAAACAGGGAGACCGTGAAAAGTGAATTGCGTTAGAGCGAGGGACGACTGTAAGCCAGGTCTAAACCAGAACCAGGTCTAAACCAGGTGACCCAGGTCTAAACCAGGTCTAAACAGCGTAGAGTTCTGGGTCGGTCCTTTCACCCGCGGTTAACTGAAGGTTTATCCGGCCGCGTCTCCGGCGTTTCACCGCTGCTGATTTCACGGTGATTTTAGCGAATTTCTATGAAGAAAGACCCACCACTTCAATCCAGGTTAAAAAAAGCATTGTAACGCGCGTTACTCACATTTGTACCGAGTAAAATATTAAAATTTTTCCCCCTGTAATGCCGTAACATTACTGCGTTACAGCAAAAATCAACGCATTACTGTAATACATTACTTTTATAATACATTACTCCCAACACTGATTATTTATTGAGGATTGCTTCATAGGGCCAGTACAAGTGGTGGGGGGCAGAGGGGATGGGGGTCGTGGAGGGCTGGAGTTGGCTTACGGGCGTTAGTTTGATGACCCCCGCTCTTTACCATCATCCATTAAGATCTGCTCACTGCTCCTGACAGGTTTAACTATAAATGCGTCAACAGGCAACATGGCGTCTGACTGAGAGCAGCAAAAGATCCTTCTTCGACTCCCTATGTGTTGGAGTTTGCATGTTCTTCCTGTGACCTGGTGGGCCCTCCATCAGCTCAAAACATGAACAATATGTCAAAATCCTCCAGCGAAGATAGTCCTGACCAAGACTAGTTCAAGATCTGGAGATGGTTTCGTGATTGCTGTGGCAGGTGCACAACGGCTCTGGTTGAAGGTGTTATGTAGAAACAGAGGGAGGACCCAAAATGCAGGACTGCTTTAAAGTATTTAATAACAAATCCATAAATCCCCCAAAAAATCCAAAACTTAAAACTAAACTGCCATGACATGAGACAAGATGAGACTCTGACAGAGACAATGGACCAACAAAGGGCAGAGAAGAACACAGTGTATCAATGCACACAGACACAGGTGAAACACATTGGGGGCGGCCAGGTTCAAACCAGACAAAGTTCATTGTTCAAAGTGAATAGTTCACGTTCATAGTTCACAATTTATTCAAAGTTCAGTTTTTTATATTTAGATGAGATCTGTAAATGAAAGGCTGCATTTTTCAAACTGACTTCTAGTTTACAACAACTTACAAGATCCACTGTTGGAAAAGTGACTTTAAAACTGTAATGTGTTATTTATGACTTGTTACTGTCATTTAAGTCATTTGTTTCATTAAATATTACAAAATGCAAACACACTACACACAAAAAAACAGATGCAGCGCAAAAGTTCAGCATTATACATATACATATGAACCAAGGAAAGGACTAAGGAAACCAGGTCTAAACCAGAAAACCAGGTCTAGAAACTGAATAACAGGAACCAGAAACCAGAAAACTAAAGCTAACCAGGTCTAAATCAGACTGAACCAGGTCTAAACCAGGAATAAACAACCAGGACTGAACCAGAATTGAACCAGGACTAAACCAGCCAGACTAAACCAGGTTAAACCAGGTCTAAACCAGGACTGAACCAGGACTAACCCTAAACCAGAACTCAACCAGGACTAAACAACTAAACAGGACCAACAGGACTAATCCTGGACTAACTTGGAATTAGGACCGCCCCTGAGAGACCCCGATCGATCGGGCGTCAGCTGCGTTTAGTTCGGTGGAGCGCGGACTTCTGCGTCGGTTCTTTCACTCAGGATCACGGTCTACGCGGGCGCACCTCGGCGTTTCACTGC